GAAAGAACTAGCGTGAAACTGACTTATTATTTGAGAATTTATCTAAATTATTCCAATTATAGATTTGTTATGTAGCTTTATTTGAATTGTAATACGCATTTAATTTCATCTTCCGAATAAAATGGATCGATCTTTGTAAATTTTAATTGGAGATTATTCAATATTATCAAAATTACCTTCTACCAACTTAATTTTTACATATTTCGTCTGTTTTCCCTTAATTTGATAAAATACTTCTTCCTAGTTACGACTTAGTTGCAGCTGCAGCCGAAACTAAATTTTAAGTTGGTACTTAGCCAGAAAAGTCGAAACTAAGGCGACTATGAATAGCTTTAGTTGTGACTTAGAATAGTTTCGACTTAGTTGAGTACTAAATATGACTATGACTATGCGCCATTGACATTAATGGACGTCAACACATTTATCGAAGTTCCGACTGTTCCATTTTCTTGTATGTTTTTAATTTATTCGCTGTAGGGATGCGCGATACCGATACGATATTCAATATATCAATATCGTTGTTCATCATATCGGTTAATTTATATCGATATCTCGAGTTGCGATACGATATCGATGCAATATTTTGTTTCGATATGTGAAATATCGGAAACTTTTCTCTACCTACTCTGGGCTTCTGAATTGAAAATAAAATTGACTAGTTGGAAAAATTTTTTGTTCTCGAAAAAAACGCTTTTGGCATAGTAAGCATGAAAAACAAAAATTCATAAAAATATAAAAATTTGTACTTCACTTTTAGAAATACATCCATACATATGAAAACGTGTGTCTCTTTGAAGGTACTTATCCAAAGTAACTTCGTTATTTTAATTTATGCTTATTTGCATTTTAATTCCAAGTATACGTATTGTATGTAGTTTCATAAACAATATATCTTTATTAACCAGTTCGTTTTCGATATTTCCGATATTCAATATATCGATATTATTTTAGTAGATATATCGGTATTGGATATTGTGAGTTTAGAATATCACGATATCGATATACCGAATTTTCATTGCCGGTACGCATCCCTAATTCGCTGCATCGAAAATATCGATTTTTATAAACGATACATCGACGCAATATTTCGTTGCATCAGATCTAAAAAAGTCGATGTATTTTATTGACTTGCATCCCTAAGGCAAATACGGTGCCACACACAGTGATGTCATATTTCGTCAGAAAGGAGAAAGTTGCAGAGTTGCTTTTTTGCAAATTAAGACGAAATCCGAATCTTCGAATATCGAATTTACCCATCCCTAGTTCATTATAATCAAGGCAATAAATATTAATAGACTTCATGAATAAAAACGAAGCTAAACAAATTTTGAAAATCGACTCACGTAACCATTTACAGTATGTTTGGGACTAGATATTTCCAAAAATATAATATAATATTTCGATATGGCGGAAAAACTGACACGTTTATCCATGAACCCTTCTCTACCGATTATTTCTCTACTGGTAGAGAACATATGTATGTCATCAAGGCGTATTTAACAAGGTGGATTTGGCCGTATATAAGTAAAAAATTACACTAACAAATTATACGCTGATGTCCATACTGTCATTGGTATGAGTTACAACAAACACATCATTTTGACGTAATGGCCTCCACGGCGAAAAACTTAGCTGTCGCCCCAACACCACCTTGTATGTCATTATCTACTTCTCATTAGCAGTAGAGAACAAGGCAGCGAATTCATATGTATATGAATATGAATTCGCCTTGGTAGAGAATTGCTACAGAAACGAGCTACAGATCACCCAGCACATCAACCGTGTATTTGAGAAAAACTAATTGTTGATGACGTTATTTTTTGATCGGATTCACATGGCTTCATTCCATTTCGTTCACATGGCGGCGTAAAAATGTCGTCACTACAAAAAAAAAAATACTTTTTTCTCGTACGCCGTCTGGGTGATCTTATTCGTTCGTTCGTGCCGTTTATCACAGTATATACAAAAATAAACCTTTTCGCAGTTTTTCACCAATTGGTCCCCAAGGAGTACTTTTGGGTTGTGTGCAGCGTTTTCGTTTTGCGCGCACGGCAACACTTACTGTGGTGAATTTCGCCTAATGATTAGAAATAAGTCTTTTCGAGGATAAAATATATATAATTGTGTTATTTATGAACTAAATGTAGGTTAAGTATAATACCAATGCTTAATTAATAATATCAAAAGTTAATAATTAACGCTTGTGTTTCTAGAAACTGGAAACTAACATCGTATTTTTATTAAAAACGTGAATTTTATGAATTTATCAAGGAAAAGTCTAAATTTCCGAATATATTTAAGTCTTCCAAAAAAAAAAGGTTTGTTTAGTTATAGAGACTTCATTAAGCACACCCAAGTTTGAGCGGAACTCGTCAAAAATACTAAACATCAAAGTATAGAATGTCGCAAATATGAATCATACACACATACAATAGCAACTGCTATGAATTGCTACCGTATAAATTCAAGACACGCATTTGGTTGGAGACTGCGTTGGTCATGGTGGTCATAAGTTCAGCCAACACATTCAATGATCCATTACCCGGAGCTGCTCCAATATGATGAGTAGATTGTAGTGAGCCTCACAAGCCACTGCCTCAGGTTACAAGCTGGATATCTGAATATTGGAAAATAAATAGCAATTATCTTTTTGAAATGATGAAATGAAAGTGTTTGTTTACAAAATCAGCTATGCCACTCTGCCTTAGTACGGTTGTTCCTCCCTTTCATACCACAGTAATTTAGCATGCAACTCTGAATCAGTAAAATTCATGCTCCTTCTCATTATCAACCCTGATCGCATTTTACCCCCGAGGAGTACTCAAAAAGTTTATTACTGTATATACTGTGCCGTTTATCGAACTCTCAGCCATATACATACCACTGATCTGTCAAGGCAAAACGAATCCGATCACTCGGGCGATCACTTTTCTAATCATTAGCTTACGATTTTCCTAGTATATATTGTAGAATATCGGCTACATTGTGTGTCTTTCCCAAAAATGGACGAAATATTTGCGAGAATAAACTACGATATAAACATCAGCTGCTACAAAAAGGAGTATATGTTTCATATGGAACATTTGCGTAACAACCTTTTTAGTAGTTTAAAAAAAGATACTATTTTTTCAAAGATATATAATGGAGTATATCTAAAAGGTAATATTATTTTGTGATAGCTTCTATCAACAAACCTACATAGAATTTTATGCGCATTCATGCGTACATTTGGATGTACACACCAGGGAAGCCAACTCGTGAGGAATTCCCCGGTTTGCGGGGAATTTCAGTTTGCGTGGGGAATCGGGGAATGGACCGTTTTTTGCGGGGAATTAGGTGTAAATAATTTTTATTTTTTGCTTCACTAATTTCATAATGATTTA